TGATTACGAAGGAGAAATATTACTTATGATATCTACTACTAAACCTCTTCAAATTAAAACTTAACTGCTTATTAAAAATAGAAGTCATAGGTGCCGGGGAGATGGCTCAATGGAATAAGTGCAATCCCCGGTTCCCCCCCACCCAAAAAAAAAATAGAAGTCATAAGGGCTGGGGAGATGGCTCAGTGGAATAAGCGCTTCTCTGGCAAGTGCAAGGGCCTGAGTTCAATCCCCGGTTCTGGGGGGGGGGATATGTATGTCATGGGGCTGGTGAGATGGCTCAGTGGTCTAAAGCACCTACTTAGAACAAGCTAAGCAAAGCAAAGCACAGGGACTGCGGTTCAATCCCCCAGCACCACATGCCAGCCAGCCGCGCCCCCTGGTGGGCTGAGCTGGCCACACACACACACACACACACACATAAATAATTTAAAAATAGAAGTCAGCGTCCCCAGCCTGCTCAAAAGTTTTATTTAAAAAAAGGGGTTCTTTTAAATTGCAAACAGTTGGTTCCAAGTGGCAGGGCACCGGCAGGGCCCTGTGCTCCCATCCACTGGCATCCTAGGCTGACCAAGACAGGCACCTGCAGGATAGGTTCAGCCGCAGAGGCCTGTGTTCCTGGTGCTAAGTAGGTGGGTCAGGACCATGACATGCTGTGGCTCTATCACTGGCTGTTTGTGTGGCTGGCTTCGCAAATTCTTAAGGTTCAAAACGGTACCTATGTTTAAAATCTGGACAAAGGGAAAGCATCCAGTGGTCAGAGCCAGAGCGACAGTGGGCACACACAGTGACTGCACACAGAGGCCTTGGCTGCAGGCCATAGCACCCTTAAGGCTTTAGGTCATGTGGGCTCAAGAAAACCCTTTGTAGGGACTAAGACCATTAAGCTACTCCTAGCAGTTGGGCAGCACACCAGTGCAGTAAAACCAACCAAAGACAGAGCCATAGGGCTAACTGGTCTGGAGGTCTTGTTTGGTGCAATCAATGCTGGGTTTTTTTCTTATTTTTCTTTGCGGAACCAGGGATTGAACTCAGGCCTTTGGGCTTGCCAAGGAAGCGCGCACACACACACACACACACACTTGCCCTAATGCTTCAAAAACTTTCAGCATAAAAACAAAAATAGGGAATTACAGAAATATAGATGCAAGACAAAAGCCTGATGTCCCGAGAGAGCAGGGAGCACTAGACAGCCAGCGAGAGCTGCTGTCTATCACTTGTAAATTCCGGCAAGCTGGGATTCAAGGCAGCAGGTAACAGCTTCTGCCCTGTTGTTTTTTTTTTTTTCCGGAACCGGGGATTGAACTCAGGCCCTTGTGCTTGCCAGGGAAGCACTTATTCCACTGAGCCATCTCCCCAGCCCCTTGCCCTGTCCTTTGATCCCTTGCTTGGGAAGTTATCAGCTAGCATTTGTGTGGACCTAGAGTTAGGCAAATGGTGGAAGTCAACAGAGATGGCAGTTTGTAACCACTTAAGTACGTATGCACATTCCTTAGCTGGCTTTAGCCTTCAATAAATGTGAGATGCTCCTGAGGCTCGGGGCTCCCTTGGAGAGAGACTAATCCCAGTGAGACCTCTAAAGGTGTATTCACCAGGTCTTGTCGTTGTTTCTTTCAGCACTGAATACCCTTTATCTTTGATGCTGTCTCCTGCATTGATGGGTGGTTTTGATATAGGGACGTGAAATTCCCAACCTGGACTGAATGAATTCGTGTTCTCTAAAACCGAAGAATGAATTTTAGGAACAAACGGAGGCTGAAGGTGTAACTTTATTGGAAAGGAAAGCTTCTGTCGGAGAGGGAGAGAAGGGGGTCCCGAGCGAGTTGCCCAGGAAGCTGTCTCCTTCAGGTTATTTTATAGGACAAAACCACGTGGGGCTAAGGTAGAGACAAAGGGGTCCTGCTTAGGCAGATGCAGGGTGGGACAAAACTATGGTCACCCAATGGGATTACAAGCACCATTGCCCAGGTAACATTTATTAGGCCTAGGACCAAATGGGGTAGCGAGTCACGTAGCAAGCGGGCGACCTTATCTGGTGTCCTTCAATGATTCTTCCCGACTAATGAGCAATCCTGGATGCCAACTTTAGGGAGGTCAGCATTTGTTTGATATTTAGGTCTGGCTCATACCGGGGGCATCTCCCCACTAAGGTGTCTGGTCTTTTTTTTTTTTTTATATGTGTGTGTGTGGGGGGCAGCTCAGCCCACCTGGGGGCGGGGCTGGCTGGCATGTGGTGCTGAGGGATTGAACCGCGGTCCTGTTCTAAGTAGGTGCTTTAGACCACTGAGCCATCTCACCAGCCCTGGTGTCTGGTCTTTGTCATCCCCTTCGAGGGCCTGTCCCTGTCTAACTACCTACAATATTTCTATCTAACTCAGGCTGTCTGCAACAGTATTATTCAACTATGTGTATATTTGCTATACCTCTTATTTAGTACAGGGTCTTGCCATGCAGCTTGAATTCCTATAGTTGATCCTCCTGCCTCATCCTCCCCCACATTGGGATTATAGGCATGCGTCACTACAGCAGGCTTCAGTGGCTAGCACGGCCTGGCCCAGGGCTCCAGGGCCAGCAGGGCATGCGGTACTGAGGATTGAACCCAGGTTCTTACATTTGCCAGGCAGGCACTCAGACCATCAAGCTATCTCCCCAGCCCTGCTATACTTTTATATTGGGTCTGAGACTTTTTTTTTGTGGAACCTGGGATTGAACTTGCCCTTCCAAGAGTTTATTCTGCTGAGCCATTTCCCCGGCCCTCAGAATTATACTGAACCTCCTGTTTTCAACCGCCCCAGTGGCTGGCTCAGTGCGCCCTGGGGGTTGGGCTGGTGGGACATGTGGTGCCAGGGATTGAAACCTGGGTCTTGTGCTTGCCTAAGCAGGCACTTAGTGCGCTGACCTATTCTTTTCTATTTGTGCAGCTCAAATTTCCGTGGCCACATATGCGTGACTCTTCGCTGTCCCAGCAGTTACATCAGCACGTTCACTCTTCTTTTGTACCAGGAATTGCACTCTGGACCTTGCGCTTGCAAGGCAGGTGCTTATGCCACTGAGATATCTCCCCAGCTACATCAGTTTGCTTTTTTTTTTTTTTTTTTTTTTGGTATTTTAGGGAAGGGTCTCTAGGGTGTTCAGGATCTCACTACTAGGTTGAACTTGTAGTGATCTGCCCATTTACAGCCTGCCAAGAGCTGGGAGTACAGGGCTGCGCCACCACCGCCAGTCTCAGCGTGCCCCGGGGGGGCGGGGCCAGCACAGCATGCCTGGGGGATCAACCCTTAGCCCCTGTGCAGGTGCTTTAATCCGCGGAGCTATTTGGCCGCCTGTTTTTTTTGTTTTGTTTTTTGCGGAACCAGGGATTGAACTCAAAAGCTGCATGTTTTGTTTTGTTTTGCTTTTTTCCTGGTGGAACCGGGATTTTGAATTCAGGTCCTTGTGCTTGCCAGGCAAGCGCTTACTCTACCGAGCCATTTCCCCAGCTCCAAAGCCGCCGTGTTTTTTGGGTTTTTTTTTTGGCAGAACTGGGGATTGAACTCAGGCCCTTGCGCTTGCCAGGGAAGTGCTTATTCCACTGAGCCATCTCCCCAGCCCCAAACCGCGTGTTTTTTATTTTTATAAACTTATTTATTTATTTATTTATTTTGTGTGTGTGTGGCCAGCTCAGCCCACCAGGGGGCGGGGCTGGCTGGCATGTGGTGCTGGGGGATTGAACCGCGGTCCCTGTGCTTTGCTAAGCTTGTTCTAAGTAGGTGCTTTAGACCACTGAGCCATCTCACCAGCCCATAAGGATTTTTTTTTTCTCCTCGAATGTCTTCAGGGTACTTTTGGCTGGCTGGAGGGTTGTGGGGATCGAACTAGAACAAGCTGAGGCTGAGTGCTTTGTGGAAGCAGCCACTTAAAGAACTGAGCTAGAGCCAGGCCCCCCCGCGTGTTTTTTAAAGACCGGGTCCTCTTATATAATTCAGGCTGGCCCTTGACCTTGAGATGAGTCTCAGGCCTCAGCCGCCCCACTGTTGGATTAGCGCCACCACACCCATCTTCCCTGACAGTTCTTGCACTCAGCTGGGACCCCAATTTAGTGCTCACAGTCTTCTCAAGGCCACCACCCTGGTTTCATGGCCCGCATTCCCCAGCACTGATTCCCGAAGGAATCCGTGCCATTCCCTGCTCTGCCACTGCTTTATGGTACTCTCACAGCAAAACACCAGCTCGCTGCCCACCCTAACTGCATCGGACTGGACGTGGCTGGAGAACACAAACACATCGTCTAGTTCCATCGCAACAACGCAATGCAATCCCAAGCCCCGTCGCGGCGCCCGCAAACAAACCCATCCAAGGGCTTGGTCAGCTCGCCCTTCCACTCGCCCTTCGCAGGTACGCTGGAATCCGACGTTCCCCGCACCTTCCTTTCTGGAGCTGGATCTTACTTTGCAGTCTTGGCCACACTGTCAGACTCCAGTCTCACGCAGTCCTCGGTTTCTCCTCACAGCTGGGACTGCAGACGTGCGCCACCGCACCTTCCCTAGTATTTTCAAGCTTTGCCTAAGCGGTACCCCTGAAGCGTTCTCCGATGCAGGGACGGCACCGTGCGGACAGCCTGCAGAGGGAGATCGTTTAAAGGTTAGCAGCGCGGTTTTAAGAGCAACGAATACCGGCGTTTCGACGAGCTCGGGGGCGCAACCGCCTCGGGGGTCGAAGAAAACAGGGGACAGGCAGGGCGCGAGGGACGCGCACGCCTGCCCGGACGCCAGCCAGCCCCCGGCTCTCGCACGCGAGGCAAGCTGCGAACTACAGCCGGACTCTGGCGCGGCTGGTGCGTCACTGCCGGAGCGGCGCGGGCGTCGTGACGTCATCGGACGTCGGCGTCTGCAGGGCGCGGGGTGGGCGGCAGCTCCGGCGAGGAGCGCGGCCCGACTACCTGCGGTTGCCTGTTGAGGGGCGCCCGTGGGAAGGCCGCGCGCCGAGGGGCGGAGCCGCGCACGCGCCTCGCCGCGACTTCCGCACAGCCAGCTTCCGGCCGCCGCCATCTTGCTAACGCGGAAGGAAGCCCGGGTGGGAAGGAGTCCGGCCGGGGGCGCGGACGGTGCGGCCGGCGCTATGCCGTCGTCACCGCTGCGCGTGGCGGTGGTATGTTCGAGTAACCAGAACCGAAGCATGGAGGCGCACAACATCCTCAGGTAGTGGGCCGCGCCTCCCTTCGGGCCCCCGCCCCGTGCTGGGCGCCGCTCGGAGGCCTCGAGGGCCGGCTGCGGCCCGTGCGGGGTCCCGGCCGAGGTCGCG